GCGTATTGATATGGATATGTCGGTGTGCTCTACTTGTTTGTGGGCGTCGTGTGGGCATGCTGTATATGCGATTGCGTCAAAGCTTGTGGGCGAAGGGGGTCGGTGTAGTGGACAGTATACATTTGACAAGGTGGACGTGTTTTTGCTGCGGTGACCGTTATACCGACGTACAAACAGTATCCTTGTAAAGCCTGAAACTATAAAATGTTGACTGTCAAAGCAGACCAACAAAACTGCAACTCCAAAGCGCCAATATAATTTCCCGGTCAAACAACAGGGCGATTCAGTAGCGCAATTTTCTTACGTTGATAAGAACTTCTGAAGCGTGTCATTGAGGATCTTGTTCTTATCATCGAGGAGAATCATGATGTGTGTTTCTAGTTAGTTGATAAGTTGCTAGTGGTGGCTAGTAACGTTAATGTGTTCCATATACCCACTTCATGAATACGAATTTTTTTTAAAGCCCTTCTATGTTCAATTTTAGAAGGCTTTAATGGCCTTTTATGTTCTACAATATTTAGGCCGGTTTTGCTAACTTTGGAAAATATAAATTTTGGAACTGTATATTCCCACACAATTTCAAAATATGCTGCCAGTTGTATTTGAAATATTGTCGAATATTCGCATAGCAATTCCTTTTTACGAGTTGGCAAATGCGCAGAGCCGCAGAGCCGCAGACACACAAAGAAATTCTGTTCTGGAACCGAAAAATTGAAAACAGCGTTTTGATTGACTTATATTAACCAGATCCAGAGTTTTGGATGTCAACCGGAGTAATGTGAGTGAAAATTGGAGTAATCTGATAAATCACAACAAACAATTTCTTTCCCAAAGCAAAAAAGAGGGTCTACCCTCGTTTTGACTTTGAAGGAAATATACAACAAAACGAAATATTGTGTTGTATTTTTTACGTCTCGAATAGCAGAATTTGATGTTGCCAAAACCGTCAGTACATCCGATTTCCAAAATTATTCTGCTGAAAAATTATGGAAATCGATCCTCAATATTTTCTGAATATTCCGAAATCTTGACCAAAAATCCATATGTGCTAAGAAATACTGAAATTACTAACCGGAGTAACATGTTTTACTCATCTCAAAATTTATTTCCCTATATTTTGCAAAGTTAGCAAAACCGGCCTAATATTATTGTACAAATCTCCTGCTGTGGATTTATTTGCTCTATATTTTTATTTGTTTTCAAATCACTGATTCAGGATAGAGAGATTAGAAATATATTTGGGTTTTTCAAATAAGGTTTTCGGGTTTATCCGAGAGAGGGTATAAAAACTCTCAAGGCTCGACAAACGAAGTCGCTTTGGGGAGATCCAAGAGACCAAGATTGAGCCTGTGACTACTTTGAAAGTATCTTAATCACCATCAATCACATGACTGACCACGATCTAAACTATAGGAGGATATGGCTTGCCCAGATTTGGACGGCGGGCAGTTAAGTCATCCCACACGATGTGTAGTGGCACATCTCATCAAAGGTATTTTAACATTGAGATTTATGTACTAATGTATGTATGTATGTGTA